GTAAGTTGGAGATTCCGTTACATGTTTTTGACTTTCTTAGGACTAAGTAATGTTTGCAATCCCTTAAATTTACGTTATGTAGAACACATTTAGAGACAATAACTGAACAGAATTTTTTTTTATCCACAACGAGGAAGCTCTTGCCCTTCATCTGGTATACAATAGGGAATATAAAAATATAGATGAACTGCGGACAAAGCTGACTGAAGCACAAAACCAAATTAAAATGATGAAGAAGGTTTTACGAAGAATTTTTTTGCGTCGTTGTCGAATGTGCATTCAGGTCAACGGCGGACATTATGAACATTTACTTTAAATTAAATCATTACACCCATTTTTGCTCTCTCTCTCTCTCTCTCTCTCTCTCTTTCTCTCTCTCTCTCTCTCTCTCTCTCTTTCTCTCTCTCTCTCTCTTTCTCTCTCTCTCTCTCTCTTTCTCTCTCTCNCCTGCCTTCGGCTTGACACCTTACAAGAAACACCCTGTATTTTAAATAGGTTTATTAAGAGAAATGGCAATTATAAGAGTGTTTATGTCTTGTTTTTATGTTTGACATCCGTGTAAGGGCCAATATCACAATACATAGTATGGTAGAATAGTAAGACACGGGTCTTAACGCGATGTATTATTAGTGAGTTACATTATGTACTTGACGTTTCGGCTGCGATGCTGCAGCCGTGGTCACAAGTTTTTAGTTGTTAAGTGATTTTAGTTGAAATGGAACGCGAAAGTTTAAAATCTTATAGTATGGTAGAGTCGACAGCACATTAACCTACTACGCTACTACGAAATGAAGGAACATCCTTAGGCTGAGTTGCACCACCTTATTTTAACCATAGCTTGAAGGCACACTTCATAAATAAACAGTTCGAATTTTTCTAGATTCCAAACCGGTTCTAAGTTGATCAAATAACTTATAAAAACTATGACAATAATGTATAGCATTTAAGCCTATCTGTCGGAGCAGATGTATCATTTCGTGGAAGTCTTTACTAATAGCTCGATTGAGGAAGTTTGTACTTATGAGTTTAAAAATAGAAGATTTATTGGTTGTGGCGTTTCCTTCCGAGACCTTTGATGTGCGCCTGGTCTGTGGAGAATGGTTGCTCTGTTAGTTTAATACAGGGTGTTAGTACAATTAAGTTGTCTACAAAAAAAATTATTCAAGGAAATCAAACTTGTGATATATCAGACAATCCGCTTTGGAAGTCGAACCTTAACTTCGAATCTCCTATGTTCTTCTGATTAATTTTATTTGTTAGTCCAATGACAGTTCAACTTTGCCCCGGGACAAACTTAACCTTCACTGGTTGGGTTTTCATTGGCGGTCAAGCTGTATATCCTGGCTACACAGGAGTTGCAGCAGTGGGAACAAGAGAGGTTGGAATAGTCCCGATTTCAGACACCATTTTGGCCTACATTCTCTTGGATGTGGCCTATATGAAATGACATCAAGTTTTACATTTTTATGCCCGTTTTGTTGAGAAACACATTTACTTAATCATAACTTGAATATTAAATTCCTCTTAAACCTTGTTTTGTAATTTGATTAGGTAAGTCTGACGGATAATCATAATTAAAGGAGTTTAAAGTCTTAACAACTTTATTACAGACTCGTTTGCATAAAATAATGTTTAGTAGTAATTTTTAAAGTAACGTAAGGCGTATGGTTGCAGCAGAAACCACAATCTTCAGCGGATGTCGTAAGAGACGACTAAGGGACGAATATGTGAACATCACCCCAACGTGGTTACATTAGGTACGTGTCAAAACCTAACAAAAAGGTTCTAAAAAACTAATACTTGATACTCCTGAAAACCCGTATTTAGACCGCCAACGATGTTACCCAACGTGGAAATACGTTTCAGAACCTAACTTGATGAAACCTAACAAAAAAGTTCTGAAAAACTAACTGGCCTGCAGCGTGGAGAGTGTAGCCCAAATCTTCCATTTGCTTCTGGTAAATTAGAGAAGGTCGTGCTTGTATTGGAGACTAAATGACCTCATGATGAATCATTTTTAACGTAGATGTCCCGGAGAGTCATATTCCTGTGGATAATCATCACAACTCAAAACTGACTAAAAGTGTGTTACGATGTTTTTCCTTGCAGGTGTCGAAAAAACCTAGGTAAAGATGATTATTAATATATTTTTTAAGACGAGTTGCACCATTATACTTTAACTTCAAAAATCCGTCAAATTCCATACAAAAAGCACCAGTTATCGTTATAGTTACGGTCAAAGTTAGGTGGTACAACTCGAGCCTAAATGTCCTATAGCCTACTTACAGTCTGCCTGGATGGCCCAAATAAATATTACACGTTATCGCGTAATAACTGGCAAATTGTGCAACAATATCGGCCTATTTCTATTACAGCGGTCGTAATTCACGAACGATATGTTTCTGGGTTAATACACTGTGCGAGCACGTTCTAGATATAGCACAAAGTTGAAATACTTGTGAAAGTGTGCTAAGATAGGCACTTTGTTCTAGCGATAGTTGAATACGTTACGAAGCTGTAAGACAAAGTAAAGAAGAACGGTCACGCCCCATACAAAAAAAACCCAGACCCGACAGAAACGAGACATACCTCAGTTTTTTTGTCATGTCTTAATTAGTTAAATTATATATTTTTTATATTCGAAATCTATGTATAACACCAAAATATTACCCTTTGTTTTTGTTCAGGCGTTATACAAAAACTAATACAAAATGCCTATTTATCACCAAAATTGGTAAATGTATGTACCTAAATGTCTATTACAGCTGCTATGGAATGTATCTAGGTGACCTGGAGATACAGCCGGATTATACAGGGTGGTTATACATATGGAACGATAAGTGATCTCACTCGATTATTTCTAAACTATAAAAGATATCGAAAAACTAGTTACTGATTCTGAAAGTGCTTCACGAGCTCTTTCAAATGGTACCAATAATAGGTTACAGATTATGGAAGCTGGTAACATTGAATTTTTGGATTTTGTAACTTCTCGTTTCCACCCTGTATAATCCGGCTGTATCTCCAGGTCACCTAGATACATTCCATAGCAGCTGTAATAGACATTTAGGTACATACATTTACCAATTTTGGTGATAAATAGGCATTTTGTATTAGTTTTTGTATAACGCCTGAACAAAAACAAATGGTAATATTTTGGTGTTATACATAGATTTCGAATATAAAAAATATATAATTTAACTAATTAAGACATGACAAAAAAACTGAGATATGTCTCGTTTCTGTCGGGCCTGGGTCACAGATGACCGTTCTTCTTTCGTGATAGTTTGATTTTCACGATCGTTTCGTTCGAAAATCGACGTGAAAATCGAAGTGATGGCGAAGTTAAAACTGTCACAAATGCATTTATGGCATGCAATCTAGACGGCTCACATTCTGTATTCGTTCGTTTCATTCAAATGACGTCGCTATCTGCTGTATAAAGGCCTTCCCCAAGGATTTTCATAACGACCGGTCCTGCGCTGCCCGCATCCAGGCTCTTCACCAGATCGTCGGTCCACCTAGTAGTAGGCCTGCCCACACGCTACGTCTTCCGGCCTGTGGTCGCCACTCGAGAACTTTTCTGCCCCAACGGCCATCGTCTCTACGAGCTATGTGCCCCGCCCAATGCCACTTGAATTTAGCAATTCTGCGAGCTATGTCGGTCACTTGGTTCTCCTGCGGATCTCCTCATTTCTGATTCGATCACGCAGGGAAACTCCGTTCCGTCGAACATTCTGTATTACGATAATATTATAAACTCCATAGCAAATTGAAGAAAAGTTATAATAGCCAAGACCTTCATTTTTATTAAGGAAACTCTTTCTCATGGTGACAGTGTATTTGCAATATTTATGAACAAAAACCCCTTTACAGCATCCATAAAACGATTTATGACCGTGATAAAAGTCATCATTTTGCACATTAAGGCTAAGTTGCACCACCTAACTTTAACGGTAACTATGACGATAACCGGTGCTTTTTGTATGGAATTTGACAGATTTTTGACGTTTGTCAAAGTTAAAGTATGATGGTGTAACCCAGCCTAAGTGAGGGACAGAGAGGACCAATCAGAATTCGATAGGATAGAATGAGAAGAAAGATTTGCAAACGTCACTTTTGTGTTTGATACAATGTCATTTTCAGAGATGGGTTTTGGAGAATGGGTATTGGGTAATAAATGTTTTCATATTATATCGTAAATAGAGAATCAAGTTTGTTAATTTTTACGTTAATACTTTTATACTAAGCACATTATAGTTTAAATACATAAATTTTCGAGTTTATTCTAGTCATAAAAATAGAATAATGGTAAAATTAAAATTATAAACTACAAGATTGTTCGAAAAAACATCGCAGACATGAATAAAAAAAAAACGCAATCTTCAAAATGGAAAAAAAAACTTTCACAAAATGCACAGAGTAAAAAATCAAAAAGCACCACGTGAAACGGAACGCATTTCTAATGAATCAAAATGAGTTATTTCTTCAATTTATCAAGTCTGTCTGCATTTTCCTTAGAAATACCATCGGTCAATCCTATATTCAGTAGAATACATACCATTCCAAATGGCATTTATGGTTTTGGCACGCTTTCAAGTATTTCTTTCAGGTCAAACGCTTGAAGAGTGTTTTTGTTTTTTTCATGATGACTAGCGCAGGCGTAAAGTATATTTGTCATTATAAATATAGAGCCGAGATATTTTTGATATTATCTCAGATTCTCGTATTCAAATACGAAAAGTTTTAATAATACTGAAAGTATAGTCCANTAAATATTAAGTATTTCAGTAAAATTTTCCAGTCACCTTTTTCAAATCTTTTTCGTACATAGAACTTTAATGTGAAAAGAAATAAAAAAGTTTTTTTTTTTTTTTTCATAGCATATTAAACATTTTTTTATTAATTCTATTGTTATTCTAAATTATTTCGCAAGTAAATGCAGACAGACAAAAAAAAAATTTCATGAATTTTATCTAATTTTCCTTTTTTTTCCACAGAATCGACCATAAGTGCCTAAAAGGGATGTGCCTTCAGTGTTAGTGCAGTGTCTTATAGTTGTACAAGTGTCGTAGTGACTATAGTGTTCTCTTTTTTGTGTGGATCCAAGAAAAAATACCGCAACACTATGGAGTTAAGGAGGATAGCTCTGCTTCTGGCGTTCTTCGTGGTGGCTGTCTGCTCGCAATGCTCAGGTATGTCTTTTTGTTTTTTTTGAGTAAAAAAGTTGGGACAACTTTTTTTTCGCAATAAGTTTGGACAACTTTTGATTTTTTTTAAACTTTGGACATAGATTTCCTTCATGCTATCTCCTAAACTTGTTATGAGAAAAACTGAAAAAAAAAAACGAGTGTATGAATGTCACATGTCTAGCTTACCTACTTTAAACACTCACGCCCGCATTTACAAACGATGCTTGCTTAAGTGAAGACGCAAATCGAATGCACAGCGTTGAATAGAGCTCCGTGATTGGTTCGTGTGTCACCCTGTGCGTCAACGCGCACTGTGAGACTTCATAGTAATGTTTGTGAATACGGGCGTCAATGTTTAAATATTAGTTTATGAAACTTTGGTGTCAGTTTTTCCATTCCTTCTTCATCACAAGACGATAACATGTTGTCTTAAACTGGTGAATCAGTTTTCATGCCCTTCAAATGTGCATTGAATGGCAATTTTTGTTATTGTTAGAACCACCACAAACAAATGTGTAATCTGAATGTAATGAATATCTATGCAAAAAAACAGTGCCAATGACATCATAGTACCAATTTGCAAAACATTCTTCATTTCAAAAACAGGCTGGATGCGTGATGCGGATGATTGCTTGCATCATTTGTTTTATTTTTGGTAATGTGTTACGATACGTCAATTCTTTAAAAAATACTACGATACAACCGGAATCCACGCACGCACCATGTTAAGCAAAAACTATTTTTACTATCTATACTAATGTTATAAAGTCGAAGTGTTTGTTTGTTTGTTTGCTTGTACACGCTAATCTCATGAACTACTGATCCGATTTGAAAAAATATTTTTGTGTTGGATAGCCCATTTATCGAGGAAGGCTTTAGGCATCACCCTACAGCCAAAAGGGGCGGAGCAGTAAAGAAAAATGTTGCAAAAACGGTAGATTTTATTCCAACTATTTTTACGCGTGCGAAGTCGCGGGCACAGCTAGTAATTCATAAAGCCATAACTGTGTTGAAGCTATGAATAAATTCAACAAAAAAACTAGTAAACAAATAGTTCGAAATACTTATGACACGATGTGAATAAAGCAAGGAAGTCTGAAAAAACTGGATGACTAAGAAGACTGAGCTATAATTTTAGACCGGTCTTGGTGAGTAAAAAAAGTCTAGTTTCGAGGTCAAGACGTTACTAGCTGCAGTAATAAAGCGTTGATACGTATTTTTGAGACGTTTTTTGTTTTGATTTTGAAATATTAAGAACTGTCATTTGCATTTTTTGTTATTTTTTTTTCAATTATGGCTTCATGTGGTTTGCACTAGCCAGTGTCACAAAATATGATGATTAATTTAGAAAAAAAAAATCGAGGCATAGAAAATTGGAATACGATCAAAATGTCTTCAAGAAGTGTGAGTTAAAAAACTAAGTATTCGATTTTTGGACATAAATTATATTATTTAAACTTTTTTGCGTGACAAAATAAAACGTGTCCTTTGAAGTATGGTAATATTACATGTAATGTCTAGGTATTAATTTGATCTAATACAGATTCAAAATATCATGTTCATGTAATTTTTTACTGATCCACCTGCGAAGATTAAATGAATAATATTTTTGTGTTTGATCAACAAGTGAATAATGCACTAATATTAGAATAACAGACACTGCTCGTGTTACAAATGGGCCTGTTATCTATGGCATGGTTTATGGACAATAAAATTTATTGATATTGCATTTCATCACACGGTGCAGTAATAAAATGTATTATGTTTCTCATGATGTTGCGATAAAAACGATCAATGTAGGTTAAATGTAAATAATTTTGTCTAGAACTTTGGGTTTAAAAATACCAACCTCTTCCTTTTTGAAGTCGGTTAAAAAGAGAGAAAATAATTCAATCTGACAAGAACTGTGGTTCTCATAATACACAGAAAAGCCTTCAGGCTACAACTGAATATGCTTTTAAAGTGCAAGTTCGCTCTATCAAGATCTCTTTAAACACCTCTTACGTGAGAAAACTTCCATATTTCTCAAAAAGAAAACAAACTTACAAAAAAGAAAAGTAGGTTAATGTTATCGCTAGCTCTACATTTTTTTACTATTAATAAAACTCATTCATACCGGAAAAAATAAAGCTAATCTCAACAAGCTAGATAAAAAACAAATCGATCCTCTTTGCATGACGCATGGCATGACCTCGAAAAAACACGTGACTACAGATTAAAAACGTCACGTCTTTCATCTGTCAATCATCATCACTTGCACCCTTTCTTTTAGGTTGTCATGAAAAGAAATTGAACCCTAATATTTACGGTAATTGGTTCATTATCAATCATAGTTCATGATTGCAGCCTCGCAGACAGATCGGAGCGCGGTAAAATTGCTGTCAGAGTGACAGCTGTTAAAGTTTTTTTTTTATTGAAGCGTGCGCTCGGAAATCAATTAAACTATTTTTATTAACAGTTATTCCCACACACAGGATTTTTTAATTTATGTAGATAGGTCTTTAATAAAACTGCATTTGCACATATTCGTAATGAAGTCTCATTAACATTTTTAATGATTTTACCGGCTTTTCGTAATTACGTTCTTTTGTTTTACACAACTGATAAGCAGTTTGCACAGATGTTTCGCTATCTGTGTGTATGGTTTCTATTAACTTTTGTTGTAGGATTATTTATTTTTTTATTTCGTTATTTCACATTTTATTTGCATTCACGAGTTCTCTTTATAAATGTTATAGATAAATCGATTTATTTGCGGTACTTATCAACAATTCAAGTCTCTTTTTAAAAACCTTTATTTTATCAGTATTTACGTTAATAGTTAGAATTTTTAAAATTATTTTGTTCCATATACAATAAAACACAGACCAATAAACAAGTCGCGCCCAAAATTCTGGGTTCAAAAACCCCATCCAATGGACAACACGCATAAGTTGTAATATTAAGTTAAATTATGACTTAATTTAAAGTTTAGATCACACACATTACACTAGTTTTTATTTCACCTCAATCCATCCAGTATTACCGAAGATAGAGCCTCGAGAAGTTTACGGACATTTTAANTGTTGCATTATGGAGGTACGGTCAGCAGCATATCAGACCATACATTTTTGTTGGAAAACCACTCTTAATACCACTTCATAAGACCCAGGAGTAAAGCTTGACGTGTCCTCGTCTAAATTATGGTTGTCATAAATTTTCACTGAGTGATGATGAGTTATGGGTTTTTGGATGCGGTATTATGCACATTGAATAGTCGAGTCAGCACATCAAGCATGGGCATCTTATGTGGTTGAAATAAAAGCTATTTTACGACGAAAATGTCAGGGCGTAGTGTGAGTTTACGTCAAACGCATTGAATATCGACTGCGTAAAAAAGTGACATTAAGGCGGTTATCACAATGCGCCGCGCTCCGCCGCGGAGCGCGGGGCGACAGATTTATCATTGTATGCAAGTACCTCAGAGCCCCGATTACGGTAACTTTTAACGTCTACAATTCAGACGCGTTTCTGATTCTGCAATACGATTGGTCAAAACAGCTGACGTACGCTGTTGAACGACCAATCGTATCGCAGAATCGAGAAGCGTGTCTGGATTGTTGACGTTAAAAATTACCGTAATCGGGGCTCAGTTTGTATAGAAAACACGCGTGGCACTTCACACTGACAACGCGTCCGCGCGCGTGATTTTTTATATGAAAATCACGCGCTCCGCGGCGGAGCGCGGCGCAGTGTGATAACCGCCTAATTAAGACTGGGTTGCACTATCTTACTTTAACTTTGACAAACGTCAAAAATCTGTTAAAATCCATACAAAACACCGGTTATCGTTACAGTTAGGTGGTGCAACTCAGCCTTAATGTATGACGGATTGTGCAGCGCGAGCGCCCCTAGCGGAAACTTTCAAGAACTAAAATCTTCATATATTTTTTTAACGCACTCGCTTTAGCTAGTGACGACGTTTGATGTAAACTCACACTAAGCCCTCAGATGGAATTTTTACAGTACTTAGTTTACTCGTACAGTTGACTAGATACTTATAACGTTGCAGGAGCAAGACTCTATAATTTTCCAGAGGAAAATTGAAGGATTAAAATTTGGCCTTCATTTCCCACGCGCAGGCCAGACGAGCTGAAGAAGTTTGGTGTTCACATTAATTTCTCCCTCTAACGCCTTTTACGAAGATAACGGGAGAATAGATAAAATGACCCTATTCTACTCTGCTGGGAAGCAAACGACAGTGTCCATAAACTACAGAAAAACACCGTTTTGACAGGTTATAAAAAGTATCTTGATTGACTGTAGATGTAAATAATGATCGAAGTAAAATATTCGTACATAGGATAAGCTCGTTTCCACCTGTGAACTGATCATCACTTTCTATCAGGTGAGATGCAAGCCAAGAGCGAAAAGGGAAAGTGGTTAAAACGGAAAATTCCCTCCTTTTCCATATTTCAGTTGGGTCTCCTCATAGACAAAACGACGAAGAAAAATATTTAGTTATGGTGTCTTTTTTTTTAAAATACATTAATATTATACATAGTCACACCCAGACCCGTCACAGAAATTAAAATTCATCATTTCAATTTCTGCCCGGCCGGAAATCGAACCCGGGACCTCTCGGCATAGTAGTCCGTTCTGAACCACTACACCAAACGGCCGTTCCGAAAATGACACGGTAGTATTTGTTTCAGTGATTAAAAGTCAAAGGGTAGTTCAATGGGACTTCTATAAACGGAAAGACTGAAAAAATCAATGATTCACAGAATAACGACTTAATAAAACTTGGAATAAATAAAACTTCTTATTGTGGTTCCACGGCAATCCACGGGTACACGGCTAAATGTTTTTTTCCGCCGGAAAAAGAGGGAAAATTCCCGTTGTTTTATAAGTTCAATGCCATGTCCAAAACAGTCATAATTACTCCACGTTTCCAAGTAAACAGGTGGGGTACCATCAAACGCTAGAATTGTTATCGTGCACGCGACTCGAGACATTTTGAT